CTTAGGGGGGAGCTTCAAAGGCAACGTGAAGTCACAGAGCAAGTCCGAAAAGAGGCCTCCAACTTCCTACAGGAGATGCGGGCGCTGTCTGATCGGACGCAGGAACGTTGGGAACGCGAAGAACGCCTCACACAGGACTTTCACAGGATGGAAGAAGAGGTTAAGCTCTGGAAGAACCGCTACGCAAAGACGAAAACACGACTACAACATCTACGATCCCCCTCACTTGGGCTTCCAGGACATTACATCCAAGATGTCGCAACCATTACCGCAAGGGAAAACGACGTCAGCCATCCAGATGGACTAGTCAACGATGTCCACCTTACCAAATTCCAAATATCCATCGACGAGCTCTTGCGCACCGCACGCATGGCAGATCCAGCACATGTTCTCGAGCAGATGAAAGCCGTCGTCTTCGCTGTCCGCCATATAACTCAAGACGTCGAAACTGCCCAGTCAATTGGGAAAGCAGATGATCAGCAAACACCATCATCACACATTCGCTCCCGTGCCAAAATCCGCGTCTCAGCCACAGCAAACAACCTTATCACCGCCTCCAAGGACTTCGCAAACAGCAATGGGATATCCCCCGTATCTCTTCTGGACGCAGCAGCCTCACATCTCTCAGCCGCAATTGTCGAACTGGTCCGTATCGTCAAGGTTCGCCCGACTCCCGCAGATGAGCTTGAAGTCGATGATGGTGTTGGGGATGGTGATGATCTGGACGCCATAATGCAGTCACCTACCTACTTCAGCGTCCCGTCTAGCCTGGACAGGTTGAGTGGGAATGAATCTGTGTACAGCGCTATTAGCTCGCCGCATTCTGCGCAGCATTCGCGGATGGCATCAGCGGCTTCTGGTGCGGGGGAACATATGCAGATGCACCGGAAGACGTTTTCGAATGGGCAAATGCTTGAGAAGACTGGGCTTGGTATAGAGGAGGTGGATGGGGAGTTAGAGGAGCTTAGGGTAAGTATATAAACTCAACTTACTTGCAAGCAAGGGGTAAAATGTACATATGTTTAATTGTCTATC